TTTCGCGTTACCGGAGATATCAAAAGTAAAACTCCTCGTGCGATCATAAAAAAATTTTCACCTCGCAAGTCAACGAAAGCAATACGTCACAAGCAGACTTAGAAAATTTTTTGCATGAGATAAACATTTTTTAAATGTTCAAATGTAAACATACTTTATACGTTGAATAACGTACGTTTTTAAAACATTCGTGCTAAATCCATGGACGTATGGACCAGATTGAAACCAAGTCTGGATGTCCAATGGATGTTGTGTGCTGTCTGGGATGACTCTCGGTCGCGTCCAAATCGTCAGTTTTTTGAATAGGAGCTTCTTTAGGATCCAATTAACATCCCCTATGAAAATCTGACGCGCTCGAGAAAATTTTTTTTCCCCTTTTTTTGACTCCTTCCTACAGCTAACCCCATCACGCAAACCGTCAGATTAATATTTATCCGTTATCAGAAACACGTGGGTCGCTTACACTATTAATATCTGACACGCTCGAGTATTTCAATGTCACTGTTTTTTTTTTACATTTTTGAAAGCCTGTACACGCTCCCCCCACCACTGAAACGGCATACATCATATAATCTGTTTTTCTTTTTAGCATCTAATTTTCACAATCCAATAGATCCCCATGACGCTCGAGTAAATCCACATTTAGCCTCTCGGCCTCCCCTACTATAACTTAGACTATCGTAAAATGTTACAGCATGTTATCGGAGCTTGTGCTCCGATCCTTCTGTAAGCTGGGCCGAGAAAAAATGTCGGACGCTCGACGCGATGTCGGGACTCGAACCGAGGACCTCGTATGTAGTTCGAAACGCAAAGCCACCGCCTTGCCGCGGAGCCACACAGCCCAACACGTAGATCTTAATTGATATCTTACAGCTCGGCCAGCCTGAAATGTCATTCGTCCCGAATGATCGTCAAACAGTGATGTTTATGAGAAACTCACGGGGGCACGTAGCCTTATCGGAATCCCGCTGAGTAATTCACTGTCGGTAAAGTTGAGAAGCGCGTGGTAATTCTCACAGGGACACGTAGTCTATTTCCAAATCCTGCTGAGAGTCCACTGTCCGCTCAATAAACCTCAATTTCTGAGGGGAAATTAATTTTTGAAAAGTCAGGTTTTCTTGCTGAGGGAAGTTGGTTGTATCCCACTTCTGAAGCTGTAAGCTGGGCCGAGAAAAAATGTCGGACGCTCGACGCGATGTCGGGACTCGAACCGAGGACCTCGTATGTAGTTCGAAACACAAAGCCACCGCCTTGCCGCGGAGCCACAGCCCGACACGTAGATCTTAATTAACATCTTACACTTCCAAGTAAAAGGCCGTCATGTCCATGGTGTAATAAGTAAGGTGAAGCATTACGCATAATGGCGTCCGCCTCTTGCCAGAACCAATCATGATCTAGCGGAATGGGAAAGCGCGAATTTCAAAAGAGGTTAAAGGGAATCGAAATAGAGAAGTCGCATAAGGACAATGGAAATTAATGTAATAAATTATGTGTAAAAGGCAAACAAGTAAATAATATTGTAGATACATATAAACCGAATAAATGTATATGCAGGGTGAATGCGATAGAACAGAACATAGGAAAATCGATTTTCCAGGTGGATCAATTAAAATACAAAACATGTAAATTAAGTTTTCTCAAAAAGTATTGGAAAAATTCGAAATAAAAACGTCGCATATGAATGAGTTTTATAAATTGATTTAATAAATTTTTAAATTATGTAGAAAAAAAGAACAAAGAACATAACAGGATCATATGAACAACATAAAGATATAAATAAAATAAAAATTTTATTATAAAATCTATGAAATAAAGATTTTATTATAAAATCTATGTAACAATTATATTTGTCATTTTTCGCAATTTTTTATGAGTCTTTGAAACATTTTTTTGTTTTATTTGCATATTTACATTTCGTAAACGAATATATGTCCTTGTTCGCACTAAGCAGTGTATCACGGTCTTCGAGAATTTGTTCACGTCAACGAAAGAGCATGCTATTTCCGCGACTTTATCGAAGATAAACTTTCTCTACTGAGGCCATGACAAAAAATATTTTCCTTTTCCGCTAGCTTGCGATTGGTTGGATATTTCTGACTACTGCGCAACTTTAGAATGCTTCACCTTACTTATTACACCATGCGTCATGTCCTCTCTCAGGTTTCTCTCTGGTATGTATGTATGTATGTATGTACATTGCGACCGGTTCCGCGGAGCGGGCCCGGCGCAACTCGCGCCGTAAAGGTCGCAGCGGCGACATGCAGCATAATGCATAGAATAATACAGAAATTAGGCTTAAGGTTAGAATAAGTAAAAATAGTTTAAAAGGAAGCGCAAAAGCGCATAAAAGAAAGTTTTTTTTTTTTTTCCTCTAGAGTGAAGGATATACGAGCTCACAGTTTTTTTTTCTTTCTTCTTGTCTTTCTTAAGTGATTTTGTTTTGAACGCGCGAAGCGTGCACGGTCGTATAGGACAGAAGGTCAAATAAGAAAATTCGTTTATTTACATAGAACGGGCTGAATGCTCGAAAGAAAGTTTAGTTTTGTTATAACCTACGTTTTGCAAAATCGCAAAATGTAAGATGGTTAAATGTTCATAGATAGCGCGGGAAGCGCGTTGTTCAAATCTCTTTTGTATTGCTTCACAATTGTGGAAGCCCCACAATTGTTAATTTAAAGATTATAGTTTAGGAAAAAGTAGCTCGGGTAATTGATTGAGGGTAACGCGGAAAGTGCGGGCGCAAAGTTTCAAATGGATTCATTAAGAATTGCGCAAGCCCCATAATTAATAATTCGCTAGATTGAATGAAAGCGGAGAAAGCATAGCGGTTGATTATAACTAAGCAGCGTAAGAAATACGCAGGCCAAATGTAAGATGGACTCATTCAAAACCATGACAATATCTCAATTGTTAGTTTATTGCTTTATGAAATAAGAAAATATACCGTGGTCAAAGTGACATGGGTAACGTAATATGTACGTATGCCAGATTTTAAGCAGATACGTTTGTTGTAAAAACAGCCCCAGAGTTGTTAATCAAAAGTTTGGTTTATATACAAATTATAACGTGGTAAATTGAAAATAGACAGAGTAGAGAGTACGCGTGTCAAATTTTAAGTGAATCCATACACAATTGTGGAAGCCCCACAATTGTTAATTAACAATTTTGTGGAATTGTAAAAATATACTGCGGTCAATGGTTAATAGGCTTAGTGAAAAGTATGTGTGCTAAGTTTAAAATAAATTCAATAAAAATTGTGGAAGCCCACAATTGTTAATTATCCATTTTGTATAATTGCAAAATATGACGCGGTTAATAAATAATAGGCAATGCAAGGAGTATATATGCCAAATATTGTAAAGATTCGTGCAGAATTGTGGAAGCCCCACAATTGCCATTTATTCGTTTTGCAAAAATGCATAATGGGCTACGGTTAAGCTAGAGTAGGG